TCGCTGCTTCGGCATCCCAGAGACCATATCAGTCAACAATGCTGAACAACATGCTGTGCAACACTTTCAGACTTTCGCGGAGAAGATGCCGTCCAGCAAGTGCGTTCTGCACCTTATCATCCAAGACCGAATGGCTAGAAAGAACAATCTGTGGTTAGATTTAAGCGTGATGTATAGAAAAGGGGACAATAGTTCTGGTATGCTTTACACAACGGATTTCTTGTGGACCATAGAAGCACGTTGAATCCAAACACATCGGACGGCAAATCTCGGGCATGTTTGGTCGCCAAAAAGAGGCTGTTTTTCCGTTTTTGTTATCCACAACCACGGTAGGAAGCAGCGAGCTGCCACAGTAGAGCAGTGAGCTCCAACCCCAGTGACAAGGTTATGATCAGAAACTGCAGGGGATAAAATCTGTGGGAAATGTAAGTAATAAGACAAAGTTGGGGAAGTATGTTACGAGGTCTCAGCTGGAACGGAAATCTGAGAGAGACAAGTGAATCAACTAGAACCAAGATATTGTACGAGTCTCGTTGTGTTGCTGTGGCCCAACACTTGGCCGGCCTTGCGTATATCAGCGTGCATCAGAACCAGACGAATCGGTATCCTACCCACGTACGAGTGCCAACAGCAAAAGGCAAACAAGAAAACATGTTAACCGTTGAGATGCTCAGACAAACAGTCTGTTTGTCAGTACCAGGTAAGAAGTTTATTACGGAGGAAGAATGTAACACTAATCTGTCTAACGATGGCGAAGCTAGGGGCTCCGATTTCATCGCTGCTATTCATCACAAAAGGGTGTGAAAATGGCAAATGTCATGACATGCACGACAGTGCAAATAATGTTCCTCTCAGCCTGCCACACAATCCCTTGCTGGATATACCATAGCAACCAATAACTGAACGACAATTTCCAAGCAGAAAGAACATTTGCCACAGTTTTGCTTGTCTAAAGGCACCACAGCCTCAAACGATTCATCTTAGGCAACCCAACAAGAAGATCTAAGTGACATCAAAGTGGAATTCTTAAATAAAAATTTTTAAAGGCAGAGATGTTGTGGACTGAGACGATATCCATTAGATTCTTCAAGGAAGCCCAGGATCTACTGAAAAGCGTTCACCTCCAACGACGACTTGGAGGACATTCGCGATTAGCCACGTGGGCCTCAGAATGGCTAATTGGCATTTTAGGAAGATCCAGTAAATATCAGGGCTGTCGAAAGGCATATGAAGCTCAACATTCTGCCCTTGTTTGACTTGACAGTATGCCTACCACCTTTGTCGCCCCTTCTTTCAGTTTTTGAGAAACGCAGCAGCCCTCAGGAGTGAGGCCTTGGGTTATTGTTCAAGATTCAACCCACATATTCATGCGCAGATATCTGCAACAAGGATATATCAGTAGAAGTTAACTAAATTACGCTCGTCCATACGAACTATTACAACATACGCTACGGTGATCCTGGAAGTTCTGGAATTGTCTAGTCAATTGGAGGTGACAAGAGTGAAGTTGAGACTACCCTCTGAATTTTGGTTATGGTCAGTGCACAAAAACCTCCAATCGATGCAACTTTAACGACCGAAGCATCAGCATCTAACACAATAGACTCTGCGCACTTCGACCGCAACAAAACATTTAAAACACTAGACTTAACAAAATCATCGGTACTGGATCAGACAAAGCTGAAATAGCTCATGTTCGTTAACGGGGACCTACTGGAATCTTCGCTACCAAATTTATCCATCGAGCATTTTTCATCAAATTCTTTCCTTTCAATTTGTTTTTATCACTCAAATATATCCTGTGGAAGTATTACGTACTCCTTCACATTTTTGGGCTGTTTCTAACTCTCCGTTTCTCTTGTCATTGACAAAGCAGAGAAAAAGTTTTGCGTTATATGAAATGGACCTCTCTGTGAAAAAAGTGCGTCAAATTTTTATTCGTCAGATGCTTGGATTGGGTTGCAGATTGCTGTGCCGCCAGAATGAACCACCACCAACAAAATTACGCTTGGATTTCCGTTGATTCTTCATTGTGGGCCGAGCGCCCATCCAGAACCAGCCGGCTGTTTCACTTTGTTGCCCTGATTACTGTTCTTATTAACATCATTCCGATGCACTAACCGTTTCGTCCGAAAGCATTATTCCGGGAATGAATTTGTTGAAAAATTACACGCTGTGAACTCCGTACTGTTCTACATATTGTCCACAATAAGGCGACTAATATTATCATTATCATTAGCTCAGAGTGATTGCACGATGCCTGGTCCGTCTTTCGACTAGAATATTTGGGCTGTCCACCAGTCAACGTGTAGTCCTGTTTGGCTGGAAGGTAACTACGGTCACACCTGGTCACACAGAACGTTTCATGTGGCACCTGCCGTATTAAAAACCGATGAAAATGGCTAGAGTAGCAGCGAAAATCGTGGAAGGGCGAATACAGAAGACGATATTCGATCATCAAGAAAACGGCTTCGTTTCACTCAGGCTTATTTCGTCACTTCTGGAGAATACCTTTATGCTTGGAAAACTATGTAGTCAGCTAGGATTGGGTCGAGTCCCAGGAAAATAGAAAGCGTGTGGCTTTCATTATCACGGACTTCAGTGCAGCGGCGGATCAGATACCTTGCTGCTAGTTGCGCGCGGAGCTGAAAACCTTCCTGGCAACTTTTATGTGGATTAAAATATTTCTTGTGGATCGGAGACTGGGAGTGGAGACTGATTACTATCTCTTCCCTTAGAATTCGAGCAATAAATTATACGAACACATGCTCTTTGTACAGGCAACACCTGAACGTTATTGTTGTTTGTGAGCCTGATAAAAGTAAGAAAGGATACACTGGTACATCATACATAGTCTCCAAGGATGCAGGATAAACAATACCCCCTTGGATTCCACTCATGTTTTAATAAAATTCATCTTTTTCGAAATCGTCACACTTCTTTGTCTCCTTTGGATTTGAAACGAGAGAGATAATAACCAGTAAAAGGCCAGCTCTCCACTGCTTACACCGCTACCTAACATCTGCGAGCTGACGACAGGCTTCCTAAGCACCACTCGTTTGTGCCAAATAAGTGCATTCGATCTCTTTAGAAACATAAGGAGGAGGGCCTGTAGCAGTTTCTTCGGGAAAGAAGTTCCTCAATTTGCGTACTGTAACCCCAAGCGAGTAACCATGGGCCTTTGTGCATGCTGCCTCATGCCGTAATGTTGAAGGTGGCCTCCAAGCCGGGATTTCTGGTTGAAGTGTAGGAGCGGTTTGTCAGGATGTGAGGGGCCACGGTTGATGTTACACACCATGATGACATCCGGTTTGATCCAGCTGCATTGTGATGGCTGGAGTTTAAGAGTGAACATGCAACTCAGCTAAGGCTTGTTCCGTGACGCCATCGCTTTCTTCGTAGACCACCTGCAAACTGTTTTCAGAATGGTAACATCTTTCTTCATAACGGCGAATCAACTAGCAATTTTCTCCCTAGGTGGGGGCATATATATATGATCTGTACCCGAAGTCAGTAAGCTTTAATTTAGCCTCCTCAAATTTCAGAAAATAAAGCTCAAGGCCTCATAAGCACTGTTTGCTGAAGGGTGACAGTGAACAAACGCCTCAGGTTGGTCACTGAAGACGACACTTCGATCTTCTTGAGCGCACCGTGACTGAACGCAAACGCCTGCTAAGATAATCCTAAAACCAACCGGGTTAATACAAGTGTGATCCTATAAGCTGAAGCCACTTGCAAAGGATGTCATGACTATCCTTGACAAGGGCTTTAGGAGAGCCAAGTAACCCAGACCGAATTGGCTTTGTCCTGATGACAGAGTATAGCTCCTCCATGCTGTCGACAAATTGGCGTTACATGACCTTCCAGGTAAAACTCGTCGTTGATAGTCAGTCAAGAGCAAGCTTCTAAGTAGATAACCACGAAATGAGTAATTTATCACTCTTTCCACAACATTTGAGACCGAAGGGGCCGGGAATGCCAGTCCATAGTCTGCGACAATTACCTTGTTTCACTTCTATATACAGTGAAGACTGACACTCGTCTCCAATCGTAGGGCAGCCTACGTTCTAGAAGTGAATGTTTGAGGAGGCTTGACAGCGGGACACCTAGATCAACAATATAAGCACCTGAAGATTTGTTGGGATTTAAGCTCCTAAAGTTCCCTCAAATCTTAGAAGCCTGAAATTCCGTTCAGTGGAGGCAAAGGAGAATGCCATCATACACTTTAAAGGAGTGTAGGTTGGAGCCCTAACCTTTGAATTATTCCCCTCGGTACTTGAGACCTTTGCTATACCAAACTCACAGGTGTTCAGCACGATAGTCCTCGTTCTACGAAAAAGAGACGTGAGTACTATCGAGGAGGTGTGGCGAAGGGGACAAGTTCGGTTACCGGAGCCATAGAGAAAAAATATGCACGACGCCTTCGAAAACTCAACTTGTTCACACTAAGCTGTCGAGAGAAACGAGGTGACCTGATAACAGCGCACAAGATCATTCACCAAGTGGACCGCCTGAATAGGTAGGCATTATCGACCCAAAACCGACGGTCTCGTGGGAACCCCTCTCGCATACTGCACCATAGGGTAAAGGAAAGAGTGAGGACCGAACGTCTCACACAGTGCGTGCGCCTCATGGAACGGTCGGGTGAACAACGTAGCCACACATGCATCAGTTGCAGCCTTCAAACTACTGCTGGATAAGTACATGTGCACTGACGGTTGACTGACTGTATCAGCAGCTCCGCTGCTACCCAACACAAACCAAGCTACAACTTTTGAAAGGAAACCTTGAAACAGACAATCACTAATTCCAAAGCAGTGAGGAGGTAAACTTTAAAGACTTCTCAGACTACTGAAATAGTACAGCTGAACAAAAGAACCGAGCCTCGAGACTTAAAAGAGAGATCTCAGAAATTGCAAGTTTCTCCCAATAACAACACTCATGTGGCTCTTGCCTTTCAGAAATAACTAGAGCGTTTTTGTTTGTATACACTAACAACAAAATAAGAAGGAGCGTCGGTCAAATAAAAATTAAAGCGCCACAACTGGCCGAGATGTTCCTATTGTCTGGGGGTTTCATACTTCTCATATGCATTTTATCATACTCAAACTGCTATATACAACGAGGCTTAGAGGATCCTTATGCTGAAACACCAAAATGTGAGCCCATACGTATCAAAGCTTGTCAGGATTTACCATATAACATCACAATCTTCCCAAATGATATGGGACATGCTACACAAGATGATGCCGCCCAAGAAATAAGTCAGTACACGTCATTAATAAGGATAAAATGCAGTCCTTCGTTAAAGTTGTTCTTGTGTTCACTATTTTTTCCGGTTTGTACCGGTATGAAAAAACCATTACCACCTTGTCGGTCACTTTGCGAACAAAACAGAAAGGACTGCGAACCACTAATGCGAGGCTTTCACTTTGAAGTAACCACGGTCTATTCGCCTTAATTTATTTTCAGTGGCCAGAGATCATGAGCTGTGATCGTTTTCCGGAGGATTCTCTGTGCATAGCTGAAAACAAAACAGAGAAACGCTCTCCCAAGGAACCCTCTTTTGTTTGTCCTGTTCATATGAGGGTAAGTTGTTCTATATTCCTCAAATATTTTGGCTGTTAAGGTACCTCCGAGCTTCGAGTTCCGCATTAGGATGTCAAGTGGCCAAGTTATTCCCGACTGTGGAATTCCATGTGATGATTTCCTTTTTGGTGACTCTTCCTCTAGAAGGTTTTCTCGCCTTTGGATTGGTCTTTGGAGTTGTCTCTGCGCGGCATCCACCTTATTTACTGTTCTTACTTTCCTCATTGACATGTCTCGTTTCCAGTATCCTGAAAGGCCGATTATATTCTTGTCAGCTTGTTATTTGATGGTGGCTCTTACGTATGTTGCTGGATTTATTTTGAATAATGAGGTGAGTGTTTTGGTCATAATATTTAACTTCAATAAGTCTTCACGTGAAGCATTTTTTAAGACGGCTGGTTAGCTTGGTAATTTTGATCCGTTTTCGAACCATATGCCACATACTTTACTCTGGGCGACAGGGTATTATCATAAGCCCTCAAAATAAGTGGTCCGATGCAGCAAAATATACCGGGTGGATGGGTTTCACTTGTTCATTATATATTCATTTAGACTAGAGGTATGCTGTTACCTAAATTTTTGAATGTTTGAAAATGCTCGTATCGCAGCAGCTCGCTGTACCTGGTACGATACACAAGACTCTTTCATGATACCAAACAGATCAACTTATTTTAATTTGCTTTCATGATCACAAACTGTAAGGTTGCTTATCGGAGCAGTGCAGGATAGTTCGTGTCTTCAAACAATAAGATTACTACGCCTGTCTGTTCTACCCTAGCGTTTACGGTTCCAGCTTATCCTCGTGGCCATTCGGTTAAACTTTTTCCGAGCATTCAATATTCTTAACCTCTTGGAGCAAACTATTCACATATTTTACTCTTAATTCCTGTACTTCAACACAAAGCTCTCTATTGATCAGTCTTACACTTTTCATTTGCTCAGATCGCTGTAGGTTTGGTACGTTTGGATTTGTTTCATTAGTTAGTGGTTGACTGAGTCCCTACACCAATAAATTGTCAATGTTCGAAATTAACTCGAATATTTTCCTATTTTAGTGATGTCTACGTTTATCCAAAGACACCTTTAGTTTAATCATACTGCCTACCACCTATAACTCATTGCGTGTACGCTTCCTCAATATACATTTGAGTTGCTTCTGTTTACTGTTCTCGGAGCCTACACTGAAGCGTTTATATGCACCCATTAGTTCAGAACAAACTGCTGACATTCACTGAGATTCAATTAACGTTTCTAATGCTGTTTTTACAGCAGGTTGTTGATGGCACCAGGCCTCAGGATGGGTGACATCCTGTTCCGATAAATGTTTACTATCCAAAAGCATGCTCCAAGAGGAGCGATACTCTTCCCTTGACCTTTTTAAGTGATAACTGATTGCATTATGGTCTGTCTGTATCCACCGTTGGTTTGGGGTTAGTGAACACCATATCTTTCATTAGACCCGGATTTTGTGCTTGTCAGAAATAGATCGTTTCCGGAGCACAGTTGTAGCAGGCTAGTAGAGATCAGGGAGAGGCAACAGCAAATTTCATTATTCCTTTTAGTCTTCATTCGATTAGCACATAGGTGACTGTAAGGTGAGATGCAGTGGAGCAGTGCACTTTCTTCCATTACCTCTTGATGCTATTCGTACACCTGCAAGATCGCAAGAACTAGCCATCGAACCTGGAGAAGCTAGTGTGGTGAATGTTGCTAATTCACGATATTGGGGGGTTGAATAACCTCACTTAGATCCTTTATATGTCTCTTGTAAACGCGGTACGCATCCATAGCGCGATACCGGAGTCTCGGCTAGCAAAGTTTGTTGGTTAACTCTATTGAGGGTGTGGAAATTGAATGCTTGACCGTATATTATAGAGCGTGGTTTTAGGAGATGAACGATGCTGTTTCACGAGGTCGAGTCTTTTTCAGGAGCTGCACAGTCGGAGGAAATTAAAGATGATACAGGGGTATTGACCAAGAGATGTGAAGAAAGTTAAAAGACAGATGTGGGATGTTATTTCTTATGGTATTTGAAGAGTTGTATTAATAATAGTGGTGTGGCCACAGAGCACAAAGGATATCTGCCTGAGGCTGTTCATACATGTCATTTCTGGAGGTTTAAAGTTTTGTTTTGATTGGCTTAAGCTCAGCTACTAACCTACACCGCCGGCATCAGGATACTGCGGGGCAAGGAGATCTTTTTATTCCGGTTGTTCTCTTATGGTGCAACTCCTCATAGAAGAGACAGTATCAGCACAGAATGCTGGTCAGTAGCGAGAAATACCTCACTGTTATCACGTGCCATTTCACCCAACACTGAGGCTTCGCCCTCGGACCTTCGCTATACAGTAGCTTCTTCCACTATAATGGTAAGTGATTTTGTCTTACCACTACCCAACTGCTGACAAAATCAACATAGATCCTCTCACAGGTGCATCGGCTGTAGTTACCATACTTCACAGTAGTACGCAAAGAACAGGTGGATAGAAAGAACGATATCAAAGTGGATAAAATATTTTGAGAGAATTAACGGTCTGAAGATAAAGGTTAGTGTAGATATTCAAACTTTAGATGTCAGGGAGTGAAAACATTTTGCACCATTGTGACTGATCCTCAGCCATGTCACCGAGAGACCTCAACGACTCATTCCTATCCTCTCTGGGACTGCAACCGTGCAGACTACATACGACTCAGATCAACAGTAAGAGACTTCATTGACTGATGCGACGTCTTAGTCTCGCCGCCATCAACCCTCTTCCAACCCAATCCAACTTAGGCCTAGCACATCAAGGTAGGTGGTGACTCGGCATTCACAGTATTTGTCCGATCAATCCCACTAAGGCTCACAACCTCATCAGTTGACTTGTCTTTCTTATCTAATACCCTTCACCTGACCTTAACTTTGCCCACACGGTGATCCCACCAGACGCGAACAATGCTACAAACACATCTGTGATCAAAACCTTGTAATCGCTTCATTTCTTCTCTTCTTAACGGGTGTCAGCCGTACAACAGGACAGGACATTGCCGCGCAGTATGCTCATTCTTTGCTAGGTCGTCGGATTTCTCGCCGGTAGGTTCCACAGATCACGCAAGTTAGCAAATATCAAACAAGCCTTTTGTATCCTAGCTAAGATTTTATCCACAACCAAACGTTGTGCAGGCCGATACAACTCTCCAAGTAAGTGAAGTGGTTGACATATTCCACCACTTCACTATCATTAAACTGGAAGTGGTTGCAGACCAGTACTGGAGTATCATCTTAGATTTGACAGGTGCGTGACGAATGCCAAACATACTTAGATTTCTGCTCAGCGCGTTCAAAAGACCCTGCATTTTGTTTGCGTCTTCATCTAGCAGTACAATAACGTCTGCATACTCCAAGCCAACTAGATAATCTTCAGGAAGTAGAGGAATCCCTCTGAAATCAAAAGTGCCTACGATTATATCTGTTAGTACGTCCACTACAAAGTTAAATAAGAACGGTGACAGTGGACATCATTGGCGGACACCACTAGTTGCCACAAGTTCTGATGACAACTCTCCATAAGCCCTCACACGGCTGAACATGTTTAAGTAGAGAGCTTCAGTTAGGGTTTTATACTTTCACAGTCAGACACTGCCACAAGACATGGTTGACAGAGTATGCTGCCTTCAGGCCAAGAAATATGGCAAGTGTCGGCCACTGGCCAGTACGTATACCTGTGTTTCAGAACCTGTCGTAAGGTGAAAATATAATGGATGCACCCTCCAGGTTTGAAACGTACCTGGTTTTCTGAAGCTGATGGTAAGCGTTAGATAACTGTGGACCCCAGGATCTTGGACACAATATAAGTCAAACTGATTCCCCCTTCTTATAAACTAGGATGATGTGTGAAGTAGACTAGTCTGACGGCATTATCTCCGATTCGCATACACTACGCAGTACCTGTCTTTTTAAGCAGCAATTTGTTACTTCCATCCTTGAAAACCTCAGGTGAAAAATTGTCAAGTCCTGCTGCTTTGTACCGTTTCAGGTTTGATACTGATTTCTCAACTTCGAGAAGAGTTGGAAAACCGACATCTACATCTCATTCGGGCTCTGGCCAGATGTTGGGAAATTGAAGCATTGATATAGTCTAGTTAAACTGTGCTTCAAACTGTTCTGCACAACGTCCTAGCCCCCTGTCCTGCCAGGCTGTCAGCATTTCATCTCTCTCTGGTGATGTTTCCACTAACCATTGTCTCCTTTTTGCCGGTATCTTTAATAAGCCTAATTAGTTGCCGGGTGTTACCCAACACTCGCCTTTTCTCCATCTCTCTCACTTTCGCCACTCTCCACTGCTCGCGATCATTGCGATTAGTTTCAACCAGCTTACGTTTAAGTTTCTTCCGCTCTTCATGGTATGAAGTTTGTTTTGCTTGAACGATGGCCAATATTTGATGTCGCTGATCGTGAGACTCGGCCATTGGAGATGAACAGAACAATGACTTGTTATCTTTCACTGAACAACGAATTCGCAACACTGAAAGCACCACTTATTTCATAGGTAAATGCTGCTGATGTTGTGATAAGCATTTGGTTTTCAGTGCATTATCTATTAGTACTTACCATTCATGGTTTCTGCCAATAGATAAAGTACGCATACTTTTATTGTTTGATAAATTTCTTCTCTTGAATAAGCCTAACGGTGGTTCTCACTGGTTTGAGATCCAGTGTTGTCTGTTATGGGTTTCGATTCGCACCTAAACGAGTTGTAATTTTACGGAAGAATGTATTAAGGAGGTATTTTGTTAGGCCAAACATCCTTCTACCCATATGGTGGTATTGCTTAGGAGAAATATATGTTTTGAGATGTTATCGAAGTGTATTGGAATCACATAGAGTTGGAAATATCACGGTGCGTTTTCAGTTTCAACACTTCTCATTCACTTTCTTATTCTCTCAGTATGATATTCTTGTCATGAGCCGTTCCTCTTCCTTTTCTCTTTAGGTTGCCTGCTCAGGTCCTTTTCCAGCGCCACAGTCACTCAGTGGTCAGATCGAAATGCCGCGACTAATTACTCAAGGGACGAAATTCGAAGGATGCATCATTCTGTTCATGTTACTTTACTTTTTTTCTATGGCTAGTTCAATATGGTGGGTGGTGTTAACAATTACCTGGTATTTAGCTGCTAAATGTCACTGGGCACACGAAGCTATCTCACGTAATGCTCAGTATTTACACTTTGCTGCTTGGGCTATTCCCGCCGCTAAAACAATTGGCATACTAGCATTGGGCAAAGTGGATGGTGATCCGTTGTCAGGTGTCTGCTTCACCGGTTTAACTGATCCTGTCATATTGAGAGCATTCTTGATCGCCCCGCTTTGTTTGTATTTGCTAATTGGGACTTGTTTTCTGTTTGCTGGCTTTGTATCCTTATTTAAAATACGTACAATTATAAAAACTGGTGGTTCAAAGACGGATGATTTGGAGAAATTAATTATGCGAATTGGTGTATTCAGTTTATTGTATATTGTGCCAGCATTGGTTGTCATCGCTTGTTATTTACACGAATCAAGAATGTCTGAGAAATGGATGCTCACGTGGTATACGACTGAGGTTTGTCGTAAAGTTGATCCAAATCAGTTAGCTGATTCAATATGTCCTGGACATTTTAGGCGATTAGTGGAAGCTGGAAGTGCTGCTGCGCGATCAGACAATCCAGATGGATTTGTTAGCGAAAACATATTCGCTAAGATATCAGCACTGGAGAAACCTGAATTCGAGTTATTTATGATCAAATATTTGATGACATTAATTGTTGGCATAACAAGTGGTATCTGGATATGGAGTGGTAAGACTCTTTTATCGTGGCAGCGTTTCTTTGCACGTGTATTTCGTCGCCGTGGATGTTGCAGCAGCAAAGACAATGATCTTAATAGTGTAACAGGTGCACCACGTTCCGGTCTTGTTGTAGCTAGACGAGGTATTCAAGCAAGTGTTCTACTAACTGGTTTAACATCGAATCCTGGTTCTGTACCCTTGTTAACGCGTACACTACAGTCAAGTCATCCAGTGCAACCTTTCATTTTCAGTCAGGATACAACAACAACTACAAGTGGATGGGCGTCAAGGGGTGCACCATCCGGGGTAACTGCACCACCGGACATTTCATCCACTCCTGTTAGTTATACTACTCAGCCGAATTGGTTGACTGCCGGTCCCAATTCAATTCAAATGAATGCTGGCCTTCAGTCTGGTCTAATGAATGCAAATGCACAGAATGTTGTACCAACCAATTCTGGTCTAGGCTTGCTATAATAGATGTTACGTATCTGTCATATCAACTAAACAATATGCTAATAATAACATATAATGTTCTCTTCTACCTAAATACAGAAAATACGAAAATCTTTGAAATCTTACCTCTTCATTATTATTGTTGTTATTTCACCTGTAAATTCAGTCAACCTTATATCACCATACGTATTGAGCACGCAGTTATGACCATTATTCTCTCAAATGAGAGCACAATACTTATCTCTCCAGTGAAATTCTTCAAGCGTTATTCCTACCCCATGCAAAACAGGTAGTCATATGTCATCACATATGTCTGATCTAGTTTCTTTTCCTCCAGGTGACCTTGTATAGCTTCTGGTCTGTATGTTTTTGTCTATCACTGCAAGGAACCACATCATTCAAACACGACAAAGCAAAGTAATCGTATAATTTTATTTGTTTACGTACTACTTCATCACTTCACGCTAATGTTTATTTAGTGTAATGTGAAATGAAACTAGTGCTGAGGGTGTGCATTTAAGTAATGTATATTCTCTCTCTCTGTGTGTGCGTCTTGTTCGTTTTTACTTTATGCGTTTGCTTTTCTATTTGAAAAAGTCAACAGCTTGATTTCGTGACTTTTCATCATTTTAATTCACCTAATTCTCATGTGTGTGTGTGTGTGTGTGTATATGTATGTATGTGATATTAACGCTCACATCCATCGGAACACTTTTATGTGTAAGAGTGCACTGTCCGTAAAAAAGAAGCAGAATGTGCTGCACTAAACTACTGACTACTACTACTGCCTTTGTTATCACCAGTATTTTTTAGTATTACATACATAGAGTGCGTACACGTCAGTAGTGTATGTATGAGTAATTTGGGTATTCTTATTCAGTATATCTGTCAGATGCAGAGTTCAAAAAGGCAACTGAATACAACAATCTAGACAAAGAGATCACACTTTTTATTATAATCATCATCGTCGTCGTTTCAATTCTTGTTGAATATATTCATGTGAAGTATTATTTTTCTCCTAATTATTCTCTGCTTGGTAACTTTTTGAATGTTTTTATAAATTCTTCCGTTTTTACCACCATCATGATGTGTTCTCTGCTACTGGTTCAGTATCTGTCGTAGCTTAATATCGTAATTTATTTATTCTTCTTTTGCTTTTTTTTTTTGCTTATTGTACTTATTTATCAATTCGTTCCTGCAATTGTTGTTGTTTCACAATTGTGGAATATGTTTTGAACTAGAAGTTCTATTCACCTTCCTTTTATTTCACAACAATATTATTATTATTATTATTATTATTATTATTATTATTATTATTATTCTGTCATTCGCCTTTACTTGGCTTCAAATTGAAGAATGATCTTATCAACTTGGCAATGTTTTTTCTAGGATAAATTTGGTATATTTAAATATTTTATTGTTGATTTTTACGAGCATCATGTCTTGTTGTCGCTGTTTTCATCGTCTACGAAGTAAAAGCAGAGAAAACAATACAACAGACGAACCTGTTAAAAATAATGGTGCTAATAAATATTATGATAGGTGGAGAATCATCATCTTCATGATATGTAAGTTCATTGTTTTTGTTCTTATGAATATTTAAAAATAGGTGTAATTAAATGTATACTCACATTCGACACAATCGAAGGCCATAATCTTTCAGTAACGGCTGATATCTGGGGCTCTGGTTGTGTTTGTTTTACTATTAGTAGTAGTAGTAGTATCGCTTTATCTAAACTGTGAATGGTTTATTTTACTTAAAAGGTGATGATTTAAGTTGGAAATGGCAATGAAAACTTTATAATTAACCTATTCATTTCAGAGATTATATAATTCTCAGATTGAATCACTTTTTAGCCAGTTTTTTTTTATCACCCACTGTCATTGCAGAACAGTGAATAGTTTGATCTTGGATAGAGAAAGAACAATGCTATTGGAGCAGAATAAAATGGACCCATTTCATTTCACCTGTTTCTCGTTACCAACTCTTACAACCTAGGAACATTTGAATATCATATTTTAAGAGAAGTAGAAGATACATTTTTTCCAGTTAAATGAAGATGGTTAACAGACAACGACATAATTTCATAAGGAATGCAAACATCGCTATGAAGTTAGCAAAATGCGCTGTGAAGTCACTTATATATGCCATCCGGTGGAGGGTTCGAGAAAAGAACATGAATATCGATGGAAGATTACGTAAGGAGATTGACAAGTCGGTTAGTTTTGATGATAAAAAAACCGACAAACGTATTGATAATAAAATATGTTGAACTCACTTGATAGGAGAATTATCAAAATTATATGCGAACAAGAACAAAGTTTGATCAAGAGATGATGCCATAAAATAGATGTGGAAGTGTAAAGTATTTGGTTACCAAAACAAGCAAAATTTTATCATTACTTCATTTTAAACGCTCCATTCTGCTTTCAATCATTCGATCGCTACGTCCTCAACTGACTCGAGGAAGTTTGAATTCCATTGTTTGTTGATCAGCTTGAAGGTTTATAAGGGGTATCTACTTTGGACCCTGTATGAATAAGATACCGAGTGACTGCACCACTTAAAGCATTTATTCACCTGAAACCGGAATTTTGTGTTCAAAACGAAACAGTGATACGTCTTTCTTTGCCTTGATAACCCAATATTTCACTTTGTTTATTAGAAATGTCACACAATGAAACAGTATCATTTACTGGATAACGTTTCAGACAAACTTTATTATCCATATTCATATCAGGTAACTAACCCCATTACTTTGAGACAGAAAAGAAAAAGAAGTTTTGGCAGCAGTAGTAGTAGTAATACAGGTGTTATCAATAATAATTCCACTGCTATTGGTAATAGTGGTAACAGGGTTAAGAGAGAATTCGAAGCCTCTGCTGTGTTACCATACAAGGAAGGCACCTCGGAAGCGTTACGAAGAAATCTCAGTAAGGCTGGCTGGGATTAAAGTGTCATTTTAGCCAAAGAACTCGCTTAGATACAAGCTTTGTAGATTAAAAGATCCTATCGGTGCAATTAAGCACAATAATCTGGTCTACCGAATCCATTGCAATGATTACGAAGTCAAGTATATAGGTCAAAGCAGTCGACCAGGGTCGATTTTAAGAACAACATAAACACTTAACTAAATCAAGGTTGGTAGATCGTAATACGATAAGAAATCTAGAGAAAAGCTCGGCTGTAGCTCTGCATGCGATGGCACACAGTAGGGTGGGATAGAGCGACAGTATTGAAAACTTAGTTGGGTAGAGGGAGAGATTGATAACCGAATCTTTGTTTATCGTATGAATACCAAATACATGCAATAGGAATGATTCTATACCTGTCCCAGACACGTGAAAAATTCTACTACCCTTGTTATCACAGAAAAGGAGAGAAAATTAGGACTAAATAAACTCTCTCAAAGTCATGGGGTTAGTTACCTGTTATGAATATGGATAATATATTGTGTCCGAAACGTTGTCCAGTAAATGATACTGTTTCACTTTGAGATATTTCTAATAAACAGGCTAGAATGAGGTCGTTGGATCTCATCATTACATAACTTTTCTATTATTTACCATCAACTAACTGACTTGTTAATCTTCTTATGTTATCTTTCATCAATATCCATATTCTTTCCTCGAAACCCTCTGCTGGATGGCATATATAACTGAGACTCTTAGTATATCTTGTTAACTTTATCGAGATGCTTGTATTCCTTATTAAGTCATGTCGTTCTGAAAACACGTATTTCCTCATTTTTTTCGTAATATGGCGTTAAAATGTTTTCTAAGTCATAAGCAGCTGATGAGAAACCGGTGAAATTAAGTGGTACCATTTTATGCTGCTTCAATCGCGTTGTTGTTTCCCTATTCATGTGCATCAAGGGCGAAAGTGTGTACGGAACAATCTGATATTGAAGAACATTTGCCAGGGAGAATCCGAACCATTTCGAAAATATACTGTCTGAACTATATAAGTATTTCTAGTTGCATTCAAACTGTTGTGTAGTTAATAGTTATCTCATTGTCAGTGGATATAGACTTTTCCTTTCATCTTCAAATGTTTTTATAATAATTTGGTAAAGGTAAACATCATGATTGGAGGACTTATTTAGTGGATGAACTTGCTGCCGAGTGGGCTTTGGTGTTCCTATTATGAATGAAATTCACCACCCTTCCTGTGCAAATCTAAAAGAGCCTTACCCATTAGAACTACTTGGTCATGATAGGTGTATGCTTTCCAATGTATGTCATTCTGCTTTTTAGTTTCTACAAAGCAAATCGGTGTTCTCATACTTGACTGTTTATTTGTCATAGCCAGCAGTGTTATTATTTACTAGATGACAGTGTTTCAAGCAGAATTTATTGGTCATATTCATATCTCAAAGTAATCATGCCACTTCAAACTTTTAAGGGTAGTAAAAGTTTCCAAAGATATCTGCAATATATGATGAATCATTACTTTTAGTTCAATAAAGAGATTCTGTGGTCAATCTCTCCTTCCACCTAGAGCTATATTGGATTTTAGAATTGCCACCGCCTATCGCACCCTATAGTGTGATTATAGGTCACAGCGTATGTAGACTGATAACCGAGTTTTGCTCCAAATTACTTATCTTAGTAACATTTATCATTGTGTCTCGGGAAATTTTTGTGCGCTGGTATTCTAAGCTGATCGTGAGATTGGCTGCTTCGACATATATACTTGATTTCACAATCACTGCATAGTATTTGATAGATCAGGTTATTCTGCCTAAAATTAGCTTGACTAAATCTCTTTTAGCCTACAAAGTTTCTCTCTTAACCAGTTTGAATGGCATCCTAGTTCCAGCATTAATAAGAATTTTGCTTAAAATTTTCGATGTGCCTTCTTTATATTGTAACACCAGAGATGATTCGAATTCCCTCTTCATCACCATCATCCCTCTTAGGCATATTGCAGTCACCACTAACATTATCACTCCTCTTATAAGTCCCTATAAACTTATTAAGAAATTCAGTTAGGTAGTTGTTACCCAGTAGTAGTATTTCTTCAATATGTTTGAGTTTGCTATCTAGATTTCTTGACTTATTGGTCAAACTCTTAGCTCGATTACATTGCCATATATAGGGTCGAATGGAAAATAGAAATGTCCTCAGCAGCCTTATGTTCTGTGGCAGACAGTGAGCCACATCTAATATATGGGGGCTAGCGATACTACCTGGCTGTCTAAACCTCGGTCGGTGGTGCAGGACTCAAACCCGTGACCTGATGGTTGTTAGTCATTACCAAAAACCAGTGGAGAACTGTTGAACTACATAAAGGAAGTTTGAAAGTCATATAATTACTTTGAGATATGAAATATGAGTAACCAATTCTGCTTGAAATCCCGTCATCCGGTAAATAATAATATGGTATCACTTCTGTGTTCTGTATCAAATAAGCAATGTAATATGGAATTATACCCTACACCGCAGTGTACAGGCTGGTGTTCGATGAGTGAAAGTTCTGGAGAATGTTGTTTCGTCATGTAGGTTTGTACTTTTGATGTGGCACATTGTGCAGATATGGCTCGTCGGTAGAAGGATTTGGCTGTGAAGCAGTGCGTCACGGATTCAAATCGCTTCCCATCCATTTCGGTTTGGACAACTGATTATATTATCGTAAGTTTTCCAACGATCGATTTGACTCATACACACGTAGTCTACCACATAAACCTGTAGTGTGTTGAGTTGCTTTACATTACATTTCGTTTGCATCTATTGTTTGAAATAATGAACCAGGCGTATATGACTAGTGTATATCGTTTTTCTTATGGTTGTATGTGTAGATCAATTTCAATGCATCTCTTTTTATTGTTAGACATATTTGGAGATATATTTGCTTCCTTTTTTATTTCACAAAGAAGTCTTATGTGCTTGATTGTTTTGTAATCGAGATGAACCTAGACCGACTTTTACAGGTTGTACTTGTTTCACCTTCCACCTACAACTTGCCTAACTACCTGCAGATGTATAGTATTGCCTGTCTTATCCTATCGTTGGTTGAACTGAGTTGATGGGTGTCTATTGGCATTCAGGCTCTTGCGTCGACACCTTGATATTGCCTGTATTTTCACTCTGAGTGTTAGTAATGGATAGTGGCTATCAGTGAAGTCCAGGTCGCGTTTCATCCTATTTGGAACTCACTCGTCACCTGGATGTACGTATCTCCCAGTGAGTGATATTGTTCCCAATCAACTATGCGATAATACAGAAAACATCATGTAAGCTATACCTGTTGCACAAGAAGTGGCTATCGTAATTCATTGGCCTAATATAATGGGCAACGCAGCGTTCTGGCGTTTGGAGCGATCGGTCCTGAGTTCTAGTCTTAGTGAGAGTAATATAGCTCACTGGGTGGTGGGTACGTCCAGCTGACGAGTGAGTCCTAAATAAGGTAAAACATGTGTCTTGAGTTGCACTACTAGCCACTCTCCATCCTTAATACCTATAGATGTGTTAGTTATATCAGTATCTGGGGTAAATAAACACTTGGTAACAGGTATATATTACTGCAGTCACTAGTCTGTAATCTTTCTAACATAGTTCTGATTCT